AGTTCACGTGGTGTCCAGTTGCGCGCCATATTTTGCTGTGTTGCTTCTCAAGATTCGACATCAGCTGCGGTTAAAAAAAAACCCCCGTAGCACTCCCTCCGGCTTCGCAGTCCGCAGCCAAAACTCATAGATGTCAGGGTTCGACCACTCTTTGAACTAGCAGATCAAGGATGACAGAGGAGGAGAGCAGTGATGGAAGCCCGGAAGGGGACAGAGCGGCGAGCCAGCCAAGTTGGGTCGGAAAAGAAATTTCACGTGATGCTCAGTCGCGCTTCACGTCGCGGGCAGAGTGTGACTTTGGAGTGGGGAAGGTGGAGTTGGTTGGGGGTTGACCAGCTTGTGACGGACGAAGGTGCGCTTTTTGGCGCTCTGCCGCAGAGACGTGCAGACGAAGCCGGACGGCCCGCTGCTTGTGATGTCGCCGATTGCTGCCTGGCTCGAGCAGCGCCCATGCACCCGGTGCTTGTTTCTGCGCCCAGCAACCGTCAAACCCTGCCGGGCTGTACACACACTTGCTGCCAAAAGGTTGTTGCAACCCTGCCTAATTCGGTCAGGCAAACGTCTCCACAACAACCCAGCGCCGTGACCACCTTGAATCGCTTCTTCTTCTTCTTCTTCATCTTCTTCCATCACAGTCCTCTGGGTGTTCTCGCCATTCGTTGGACATCGGCATCACCAGCACCTCCACGCCACGCCTCGAGCAGGCGTCTTTGCTTGCCATCATGGCCGCCGCCATGCCTCCCGAGTCGGCTCGCATCCGACCGGGCCAATACTCGCGTCAGCACTCCGCCTTCTCCGGCTCCTCCGATCCACACAGCGGCAAGGAAAACGAGCCGCTCTCGCCCCAGCCACACCCGTCGGCGTGGGGCCGAGCCACGTCACCATCCAAGGCTCACCCCATCGCTATCGATCCGAAGTTTCGCCTGCGAGGCACATCGCCAGAGGATACAGAGCGAGAGTCGCGCTCCAGGCTGAGTTCGTCGTCCAGCCCCACCAAAAAGGGTCTGCGTAGTCGCAGCCGCAGTCGCAGCCGACTGTTCGGCAAAGACAAGACCGACACGCTCAACAACCAGGCCGATGCACCTCAATCCTACGCAGCCACCCGCACCCCTGACCAGATCGACGCCGACTTTGTCGATTTGCTCGATGAGCTGCAGGTGCAGCCCGACCTGCGCCGCAAGCTGCTCGCGCTCAACTCCACCGTCAAGGCTTCCATGCTGCAGGGTCAGGCAACGCTCAGCCTCGCTGCTTTCGGGCTGGGAGACGGCACTGCTGGAGCCACGCCCTCTTCGCCAACAAAGCGCATGCCCATCCCGGATCTGCTCAAGGCCCGGGCTGCGTCCCGTCCTGCTTCAGTCCACATCTCGTCTCCGCTGCTGGGGCAGGATGCCGCTTCCAACTACGCCAGCCTTGCCGCTGACTCCGCCGAGCTGATGGCGCCCCCCAACACCGCACAGCTGTTTGGGTCCGGGCCCCCTCGACAGGTCTCGTCTGGCTCCATCGACTCGGCCTCCTCCGGCTCCGCTGGCCATACCAAGCAGCCCAACAGCACTTCGCGCAGTGCCATCCGCGACGCCTTCAAGAAATCCACCCCCAACCTCGGCCAGGGCGGATCCTTCATCTCTCTGGCAGCGTCCGCCGCGGGGGGCTCGGCCAGCACTCCCTCTACGCTCCGTCCACGCTCGATGTCCTTCAGCAAGGACGTCGCCGCCTCTTTCGGCAAGGAGACGCCCGAGAGCTTTGCCACCATGCTCAAGTGCACAGACGCCAGCCGCATCGATGTGGCGCGTGTCAAGCGCATGCGCGCCGTACTTGCCGCTGAATCCCCCACCTGGATCTCGGCGTTCATCTCGCCCGCGTGCGCCGGCTACGATGCCATGCTCGCACGCCTCGATGAGCTGCTTGCCATGGAATGGAGAGAGGAGCAGCACGACGACATGCTCCTCCACGAGCTCCTGCGCTGCTTTGTCGCCCTCAGCACCACCGAGGTCGGCCGCGACGCCCTCGCCTCCCACGCTCCGCGGCCCTTCCGCCAGCTCGTCGACCTCCTCTTCTCCGAGAAGAAGCCTGGCGATCTCTCGACTCGCAAGCTTATGATCGAGCTTCTCGCCATCCTGCTCGACCTTCAGCTGCCCGCTTCACAGGCTCACTCGCACTCGTCGCTCAACTACCTCCTCGAGCTCCTCCGGAACCCGTCGGACCCGGCCAAGGACGCCGTGGTGGACTTCATCAAGCAGACCCATGCGCCCCGTCCCTTCAAGACGTACATCGTCGAGATCGCCGGCGTGTGTCGCGACTACTTTTGGATCTTTTGCCACTCGCAGAACCTCTTCTGGCGCTGGGACGAGCTGCAGGATCGCATCGACTCGATCCAGGGGCCCAAGGTGCCCGGCGGCATGACCGGAGGCGTCGAGTTCGAGGCAATGGCCTATCTCACCGCACATCTCAGGCTGGTCAATGCCATCGCCACCGTGCTCGTGCAGCTCAAGGCGCATCAGCTGCCCCGACCCGCCATGACGGCGCAGCTGTTCCACCAGAACCTGTTCGCCTCGGGTATCGAGAGGGTCCTCGCGACGCTGCGCAGGGCGTCGCAGCACTACTATCCCACCACGCACCTCGAACTCGCCAGGTATCTGAGTCTGGCCAACCAAGCTGGCCATCCGGTTCCCTACCATCTGGCCGACTGGATCGAGAGCCCAAAGATCAAGACGGCGCCGCTGTTGCCTCCGCTTGAGCTGCCCAGCTCGCAGGCGCGCGCCTCGCCTTACACCGCTGCCTCGCCTCAGGCCGGGTACGGTCTGGCCGGCGCGTTCATCGCCCCGTCCGCGCCGGCTCGTCAGTCGTCGTTCCAGAACGGCACCGACGACAGTGCCCCAGTGGCAGTGACGACGATCAGTCGCTCCAACGCAATGCGCTCCGCATCGCAGTCTCCCAGTAAGCGCGATCGCATGCTCGCCCCTCCGGCGACGGCCGAGCCAGCACCGGCGGTAGCCACCACGGGCGACTTTTGGGACTTTGACACGGCCGCACCCAGTCGCGAGGTAGAGGTGGTGGGCTTTGATCGTCGACTTGACAGCCAGTTCTTCGCGCCCTCAGCGCCCGTTGCACCCGAGCCGCCGTCGTCGCCGGGCATGCCGTCCTCGTCCACTTCCAAGCGCATCCTTGGCCTGTCCGAGGCAGTCACGCAGGACCTCAAGCCTCCCAACGCAGATCGACCAAAGGGTTCCATCGTGGGCTCGGCAGTGCAGCAGTGGGAAAGCCGTTCCATCTCGCATGCTCCCACCCCCATCCAGCGCGCCAAACTTTCAAACCTCCGATGAAGCCCTTCTACTCTAGCGCTCAGGTCTTCCTCTGCGCCTCGTCATGTCATAGCTTCCAACCGCACCCGTCTACTTCGTACTTTGCTAGCATCCACAGTCCGTATCTTCAGCATCCCGATCTCCGTTTCTTACCGTTCGCCACCACACCAGCACACCGAGTGTATAGAGACATGATTGGATTGTATCTGAGCAAAGAGAGAGAGTTGTGATGGAGAGACTGGGACAAAGAATACAGGTTGGGATCAGAGACAAGGGAGAAGGGATGCGTCTAGAGCTTCGGGTCTTCCACCTTGGATGCAGCGAGGCCGGGCGTGGGCAGGTCCTCGGGCGGCGGAGGCGGGGCCGAGCTCTCGCCCTTGCGCTTCAGCATGCCCTTCTTGTCCAGGTACTGGTCTGCCTCGTCTGCGTGGCTGAACGGCCTAGGCCCGAGCAGGTTGCGCATGTCCTCGCGCGTGATGACCTCCTTCTCTAACAGCAGCTTGGCCACCTTCTCCACGTCGGCGCGGTGGTCGCTCAGCAGCTGCGTGGTGCGCTTGTGCGCCTCGGAGACCATCTTGCGCACCTCGAGATCCAGCATCTCGCCCGTGCGCTCCGAGTACGGCTTGTGCATCGACTCCTGCTCCGTACGGTAGCTGACCGGGCCCAGCTCCTTGTTCATGCCGTACGACGCGCAGATCTCGAACGCCATGCGCGTGATCTTGGACAGATCGTCCTGCGCGCCCGTGGTGATGGTGGTGAAGAAGATCTCCTCCGACACACGTCCGCCCAGCGTCATGCACATGCGGTCGAGCAGCTGCTCGGTCGAGAACAGGTAGCGCTCCTTGGGCAGGTACTGCGCATATCCGAGCGCACCCACGCCACGCGGGATGATCGACACCTTGAGCAGCGGATCGGCATGCTCGAGGAACCAACCGCAGACTGCGTGGCCCGCCTCGTGGTACGCCACCGTCTTCTTCTCCTCAGGAGAGAGCACGCGCGACTTCCTCTCGAGACCAGCGATGACCCTCTCGATCGCCTGCTCAA